CCTGTGCTGTGGGGAGGGTGGGGGGTACCTGTGCTGTGAGGAGGGTGGGAGGTGTACCTGCGCTGTGGGGAGGGTGGGGTGTGCCGTCCTGCGGGGAGGGTACAGAGCACGTGCCCGTCCTGCGGGGAGCGTGTGGAGCGCCACCTCCAGTGAGCCTGCTTGGACTCTTGCCCCTCGGGCGAGGCAAAGCCCAGCTGGCAGCAGGCGCTGTGCAGGACACCGTCCCGGACTGGAGGACCAGCGGCACCACCAACGGCCAGGACCAGCAGAGGACCAGGGGCTGGCTGGGTGGGCCTCCTGTACACGCCTGGGCCAGAGTGTGACGGGGTAGGCAGGTCAGCACAGCCCTTCTGCCTGGTGCCCGACAGCAGGTGCGTGGCAGGGGCGACCTGACAGCTCGTGGGAGTGGCTGTCGGGCTGTGACTCCTGTCAGTCCTCAGGGACGGCAGTGAACACCGACAGGGCCACTTCGTCCTCTCCCTTCTAAACACCGGGTGAGTCTGGGCCTTGCAGCCAGGTGCTGGTGCTGCTGGTCCTACAGCAGAGCCCAAGACGTGGGCGAAGACACAGGCCTTGGACCCTAGCGAGCCGTGCTCCCTACCATGCAAGTGGCGCCAGCCCAGGCCCCTTCACCATAAGCACCTGCTTCCAGATGGGGCTTGGGCCCCACGGGACGATGCAGCTCCCACAGAGCCGTACCTGACGACGTCTCTACTTGGCTTCCTGGATTTCTTGGCAGCTTCTACCTGCACTGGTACAGCCTCGGGGGCAGGCTCCTCCACAGCTGTGTCTTCGTGGCCCAGAAGAGCTGCCTGCTGAGAGAAATCCATGTCCTGCATGAACGACATGCTGCGCTTCAGGGCTGCGAGCCGCTCCTGCAATCAGAGGACAGGGACAGGGCAGCGGGCTTTACCTCCCCTCACGGTGGCGTGGCGATGGCGTGGGATGGCGGGCAGGGACTGGGCGGCGGGCTTTACCTCTCCCTCACACGCAGGCATGGTGATGGCGTGGGATGGGAGTCAGAGGACACGGCAGCGTGGCGATGGCATGGGGTGGGAGTCAGGGAACGGGGACAGGGCTTTACCTCCCCACACGGCGGCGTGGCGATGGCATGGGTGGGAGGACCGCAGCCTCATCTGGCCTAAACCTACTACTGCCCACACTGTCAGTGGGATGCGGGTGTGGGGCTCGACCACTGGTGGCCACGCTCAGAGACCGTGGAGGGGAACGAGCCAGAGTAGACCTCGCCTACGTGTGACGCATGCAGCCTGGCTCACAGTGCAGGTCTGGGAGCCAGGCGGCGTGGCCAAGGTGGTCGGTCTGGCCTGCGAGGCAGCCACATGGAACAATCGCTCCAGGCTGGCTGCGATCCAGGGGACTGACACAGGCTCGAGAGCAGCAAGTGTAGAACTGCCCACCAACCCTCCGTGAGACGTCACAGCTCGGTCCTGGGCAGCTGCGGGGACAGAGCCTGGAGGGGCAGCCAGGCACGTCTATGCTACAGCAGAGGGGCCAGCACCGCGGAGGTGGCGGGTGAATGGAGCATGGCACCACTGTGAGGCTGGTTCTGCTCAGGCAGAATGAACGCAGACCAAGACTCTGGCCTTCTCTGCTCCGCGCTGCGAGGGTGTCTTACTTTGCTCATCATCTTAAAGCCTGCGTGAAGAATCTTCTTAGCTAACTTGTAGTACACAGTGTCCGGTCTATTGTAAGTCATTGCGTTATCACACATCAGCTTGAAGTCTGCCTGGAGAGGGGAAAGGAGCAACGTCAAGGGAGAAGCACGCAGACGGCAGAGCACAAGTTACGCTCCTGCCAAGAGGCCGAAAGGAAAAGCCTAAAATTGAGCGCAAAGTAAGCAAACTTGGTTCTTTAAAGGAAATAATTCCTAAGAACCAAGAAAATGTCTCATAGCTATTCACCAGTGTTCACACGCACGAGAGATCTCCCAGGAAAGAGGGGGTCAAGGTCTGTGACTTCCTTTTGAGGATAAGACACATTTTCCTTTTTAAAGTCAATAAGCGATTTCTAACTCTCACGATGTTAGTAACGAAAGAGAACGAAGGCAAAGTACTCAGGAGACCTAAGACTGAGTAGTCTATAAAACAGTAAATGCCTAGTTACGACAAGACAGAACTAAAAATGAAGAAAACTGTTTCTAGAGACATCCATCCTGAGCCAGGTCAAATATGACACAGTACTGTCTGAACGGACACGTCCTGTTTAGGCCAGCACAGTAAATTAACTTTTTTTAGAGAGATTTTTGCTATAGGACACATGCACTCAACTAAAGAGATAGGGAGAGAGAGAGAGAGATAGTGAGACATCACCCCCCGGGGCACGGCCACGCCGCAACCCCTTCTCCTCCATTCTCCTCTCGGGGTTTTGGGCATGCACGCACACGTGTCTGCTGTGAGTTTTAATCCTCTGGGTCTGGGACTTGAAACACAGTTGACTATGTGGGAGTCCAGCGATATAACCATTATGCCACCTGCTGATCTCAGTAAATTAATTTTAAAATAAAAGAAAGGGGGGTCAGCAGGATTGGATTCCCACATGGCTGACCGCAGTTCAAGTTCCAGACCTGACGGCTTGAACTCATACTGGGCGTGTGTGTGCCCAAGAGCCTGAGAGGACTGCGGAGGAGAGGACGGCAGACTGATGGGTGGCCATACCCCAGGGCGATTCGTGTCTTTCTGTGTCGCTCAGGTGAGTGCACATGACTGACAACAAAAACCTCTCACACACACCAAAAACAAGGAAAGAAAGGCAGACAGAGAAAAAGAAAAGAAGTGCATTTCTAATAACATACAACACACGGTCTGGGTTCTACCCCACACAGAATGTCCCCACTCAACCCACTTTCTGACGCTGTTTATGAAACACCCCCACACTCAGACACACCTGTGTGCGGTCACCGGGCACCCTGTCGGGGAGCTGAGGGGTTCCCTGGACACGCACTTTACGAGCGAGCAGAGTGTGTGTGAGACCGACGCACCTTAAATTCTGTCACTGACTTGTACTCGCTGGCTGCGATCCGGTCCCTCATGGTGCCGAAGTCCATCGGGTGTTTTATTATCATGGAGTACCCAGGAGCGATCGCATCCGTGACGGGAAAAGCAAAGAACCCATGAGGATCTTTTCTGAAAGCAAAGACATCGCGCTTTGACTGGGAAACACTAGAACTCACGTTTCTAATACAGAATTTCTCTAAAAGTCTGGTACGGTTGACCAACTTTGAAGTTCGTTAAAAACCAAAGTTACAAAATGAGTGCCTTGCCTTTTCAGAGTGACAGGCAGCCTGGACAGTCAGGCCACCTCCCGCCACCGTCCCAGCTCCAGCCCCCCCCCCCTTTCTTTTAAAC